GCAGGGTAGCTAATTCAGTTACAATAGTGTAATCTCAGACTGGTACAGATAGTGGTGACAAATCCCACGCTCTCCAGTTATAAAAAGAACGAAAAAGTTAGACGTATGGGAATAGGCGGGAGAAGAGGGGAAACTCAACATATGTTAACTGAAGTTGAGGATGATACGTGCCACGTAGCATGGCAGGCCCAAACTAAACACCCTGTAATCCTGTCCGCGAAATTGCAATTTAAAACCTTATGGTTAAAGCGAGCTAAGACTAAATTTGGACAAGCCCTCGCCGTTACGCCGAGCTGCCTGTTGCTTTGAGTCCCGACTTCTCATTTGCAAACGCTAAACTGGTTTGAGAGATCACGGTTTTGTTTTAAATCAGACATAAAGTAGTGGTGCATCTCTTTCGGCATTTGGTAAATCAAAAAATGTTCAAACATCATTGCATCACGCGTGCGATATATACGGCAACGATGAATTTTCCTTTCAAACATTTGCAAAAGAGTAGATATTGGCTCATTTAATGGTGTCAGATTTGATTCCAAGATGAGCTTCCAGTCACATACTACTAAGAACTTCTGTTTGTACATCCATAACGTTGCTTGACTATGCCCCTACTTCGGCTTGTCTGTTCTGGAAACGCTCATCCATGCTTTAAAATTCCAACCCTACCGGTGACTGGAGTGCTACATGGCACCTTTCTGTAAAATTGACATAATCCAAAACTCTGCCTAATACCCAGATTCATTCACCGAGCACCCCTTGCTCATTGACTAACAATGATTCCCGATTAAGAAATGTCTCTTGATTGTCAAGGGGATCAAGGGTTACGGGGAGAAAGCTGGAGAATGGGATTGAGAAATTTATCAGCCGGGATTGAGAAATTTATCAGCCATGATTGAGTGGTGGGGCAGACTCGATGGGCTGATTGGCCTAATTTCTGCTCCTAGTTCTTATGGTCTTATGATTTAAACATTTTTCTCATTGTTTACAGATTCCTCCATTGCGTTAATCCTGACATCGTCGGATCCCTAAAATCTCTAAGTTATTTGCACCCTTCCAATTCTGACCTTTTAAACATCTCCTATTTTAATCACCCTATGAATCCCTTCGTAATCTATGTCCTAAACCGGTTATCTTTCCACTTGTACACCTCATTTTCCTTCTACACAGCAGTCCTTACAACCTGCCACTGACACTAATCTTTTGGGTCATCCGCAGGAAAGGAAAGGGTGGGATTGTTTACTTTGTGATGAAGACATTCAGAGAATATTTGATTAAGGTGATCAAAATCATGGGAGTCCAAATAGCTCTTGTGGCTCAGCGGTAGTGTTCCTGCTTCTGAGCTAGGTGGCTTGGGTTTGAGTCCCACCTGGTCTAGAGGCGTGTAAGAACATCTCTGAACAAGTTGATTAGATAATATCTAAGGGATAGTATAGAACTTCAAAAGGACAGAGATGAGTTGGTTGAATGGGCAAATAGTTGGTAGATGAAGTTCAATGCAGAGAAATATGAGATTGTTTGTAGATCAATGTAGAATTTAGGATGTTGGAGAGGGAGAAGTCACTGAGGTTAGTAAAGGCAGGATGTGAAAATTAGAACAGGAGGAGAAATAGGATAAAAGTAATGCTACGGTAATGAACAGAAATGGGAGGAAGGCCTGAGATTGAATTTAAAATGAAGCCAGTTGAAAGGAAGGACGGTATAGCATATGCACTAGACTGTAAGAAATTTCCATATAATGGAGAAAGCAATGAAC